GGGGGGTAAAAAAAATTTTCATTTAAAAAAAAAAAAAAGAAAAAAAAAAAGGTTAAGGCATTTAACTTTGAAGGCTGTTTGATGGCAGTTTCAAGTCTGTTTGAAGAGTGATTTGTAATCGATGCAAATTCTATCGCGCACGAATATTGTGAGTAAATTATATGTTGTTCTCTTTATTTAGGCTACTAACTGAGGCATCACAGGTTGTTACATTATCGAGAAGTTTCCTGCAGTGTTGATTGGAGCTATGTTTCAAGGTAAGTCGCCACGGTGTGTAGCTAATACTGATGCATAAAATGTCGGTCACAACAGTGGCGCACCTGGGTAAAGGGTGTGTGGGGGGGGGGCGAGATACTCGGGCAGTGTCCTTCAATTTGATCAGAGCTATGTTTCAAGGTAAGGCGTCATGGTGGTGTCAAGGTGGTGTCATGGTGGTGTCACGGTGGTGTCATGGTGGTCTCATGGTGGTGTCATGGTGGTGTGTAGCTACCTCTCATACTCATACAGATGAGTAAGCGTGTCGTTAGACCAGTGGCCTACCTAGGGAGTGAGCGAAGAGGGTGGGGGTGTGGGGGGGACTGCCTGGGGCATCACTTTTGTTCATGTTTATTATCATTATTATTATTATTATAACAGTGATCTTATGTAGCGCGGTACCCCAGCCCAGGACTGGGCTCACCGCGCTTCACATAAACATATTGGCACAAATAAAGATGAAATTAAAAGTTACATACATTTATTTTACTTTTTTTTGTTTTTGAAAAAACAGCTTTATAAAAAAAAAATATTCCCTCCCCCCTCCCACCCCAGAACTCTTTACATGTCAAGTCATGGGCGGCACCCAGCAGCATCGTTTATCGGTCAGAGGGAAAAGTGGGGGAGCAGTCGGGATAGTACAGTTTGGGGGTGAAATTTTTGCCCGTGGTGGCATTTATTCAAGGTATGCCGACTGGGTCAACGGTTTTAAAGTGACCTCATAACTTTTCAATTAATGTAACTGATCCTATTCGGTAACGGCGGTATGTCTAGTTATACATTTTTTTCGGAGCAACCGAATAGTGTAAAAAAAAAATAATAATAAAAAAGTCACATCACAGCTTCCATGCAATGAGAAGTCACGCGTCATTGTGACGCAGACGTGATTGTGAATACCGGTACAGCCGACTGTACGTGGATCTATATGGGTTAAACAAAGAGGATGTGTACTGTACGTCTGTACATCCATTATTATAAAACAGGACAGCTGGAACGGATTGGTTGGCCTGCATGGTACATATTCTAGTTCCTTGGAGTATGTTTCAGTGAATACAATAAAAGTAATAAAAGCCAAAAAAAAAAATATATATATAGTTTAGGACTTTTAACACATTTGGCTGCATGGTGTATACTTAATTCGCAGTTTTTGTTGGGTTTTTTAAAGCTTAAACAGTGATTTAATCACATCTTATCGTCACCATAAACAATATGAATAATCAACTGAGGGATTTTATTTCTTCTTCTTTTTTTCTCATAGGCTGTTGATTACAGTATTTCAACATTTTATAGTTTAAAAAAAAAGGGTTCTGAACGGATGTGTGATTTGTGATCAGAATGGGTAAGTGATCAGAATGGGTAAGTGATCAGAATGGGTAAGTGATCAGAATGGGTAAGTGATCAGAATGGGTAAGTGATCAGAATGGGTAAGTGATCAGAATGCGTAAGTGATCAGAATGGGTAAGTGATCAGAATGGGTAAGTGATCAGAATGGGTAAGTGATCAGAATGGGTAAGGAAACGATACCATATGCCTAGTTGGATAGTTATTTTTATATTTTTTTCACCAACGAGTAATATAAATGTTAGAGCTCGTTTGCATATGTGTGATAAATTAATCTAGGTCAAGGGTTCTAAAAACATTTTTTTTTTCTAATGCACCTTAAAATTCTGGAAATGGATGTGCATTTTGCATAAATTGTGAGATCAAATTAAATAAGCAGCATTGAAATGGTTAAAGAAGAAGTAGTAGGCCTATCAGTGAATTTTCACGTTTTATATTTGCAAACTTTTTACAAAAATAAGGAGTTAGAGGAAAATATAGTTTGAAAAAAAATCCAACGACCTAAACGTATGTCGTCAACATGATTTATAATTTGATCAAATAAAGTGCATTATTCTGTCTCCAGAAAACACAGCTTTTCAAAATAATGAGGCCACACACAGAGATCAGAGTGTCCCAGGTGATTTAATAAATATTGAACATACGTGCGTTAATTCTATTCATTTTTTAAACTTCATAGATTTTGAAAACACACAGCAAAGACGTGCTTTGTTTGGCTCGCCATGTCGATCGTCTACCAACAGCATAGCCGTGCTTTGTTTGGCTCGCCATGTCGATCGTCTACCAACAGCATAGACGTGCTTTGTTTGGCTCGCCATGTTGATAGTCTACCAACAGCATAGACGTGCTTTGTTTGGCTCGCCATGTCGATCGTCTACCAACAGCATAGACGTGCTTTGTTTGGCTCGCCATGTTGATCGTCTACCAACAGCATAGACGTGCTTTGTTTGGCTCGCCATGTTGATAGTCTACCAACAGCATAGACATGCTTTGTTTGGCTCACCATGTCGATCGTCTACCAACAGCATAGACGTGCTTTGTTTGGCTCGCCATGTTGATAGTCTACCAACAGCATAGACGTGCTTTGTTTGGCTCGCCATGTTGATAGTCTACCAACAGCATAGACGTGCTTTGTTTGGCTCGCCATGTTGATAGTCTACCAACAGCATAGACGTGCTTTGTTTGGCTCGCCATGTTGATAGTCTACCAACAGCATAGACGTGCTTTGTTTGGCTCGCCATGTTGATAGTCTACCAACAGCATAGACGTGCTTTGTTTGGTGTCGCCATGTCGATAGTCTACCAACAGCATAGACATGCTTTGTTTGGGTCACCATGTTAATGTGTCTTCATGGGCGTATGTCGGGACGCCTAGGCAGACACAATTTTTGCCTTTACCAGCGGCGTACCTAGGGTTGCGATGACGCCCCTCCCTCCAACAATGGCGTAACAAATGGGAGAGGGGGGCAGAGGGTTCATATTATGTCCCCGAACGCCTGACTAGTTAGTAGCTCCGAAATGGGCACTGATAGTATGTTATTGCACTATGAGGCTTATGTTACCTCAGGTGAGCGAGCTTAAGGTTTTTACCTCAGGTGTGCGAGCTTAAGATTGTTACCTGAGGTGTGTAAGCTTAAGGTTTTTACCTCGGTTGTGTGAGCTTAAGGTTGTTACATCAGGTGTGCGAGCTTAAAGTTGTTACCTCAAGTGTGTGAGATTTTGTTGTTACGTCAGGTCTGTGAGCTTAGGGTGGCTACCTCAGATGTTTGAGCTTTTGTTCTTAAACCAGATATGTGAGCTTAATTAAGGGTGTTGACCTCAACTCTGAAAAGGCTCGCCACACTACGTTGATTTTCATGGCATGACGCGTGGGGCTTCACGCCTTCTTCTACCACAGAAGAGTGATACATTAATGTGACTTGTGTTTATTTGTGTCGTATCCACTATGTTTAAAGCCCGGAACCTCAAAATATAAATGAATATAATTTTTTTTCCCATTAATGCTTTTAACCTTTCAGGACAAAATAGCATTGCAACAGAAGAAACAGAAAAACCTAATGGAACTCAACACGGGACCGTGGAGGCGGCTTTTGAAATTGCCATCGAAGCCGCCGACAATTCGGATTGGACGCCTGAAGTGGTAAGTCAATAATTTTAATCAGTTAAAATCAAAACACAATGATTTTTATTTCCCTTTTCATTCATTCAAAAAGAAAAATAAATTTTATACACAAGTTTCTTATGTAGAGAACATTTTGCTGACAAGCTTTCTTCTAAAATTTAAAAAAAAAAATTAAAAAATGGACCTTCAAATTGTTTCGTTCACTTGAATTTGGCAATGCTTTATTTTTATAGTTTCTTTCTTTTTTTTTTAAATATCTATAAAATATATATATCACAAGACACAACATCATCAGATCACACGACACAACATCGTCAGGTCACAAGACACAACATCATCAGATCACACGACACAACAGAATCAGATCACAAGACACAACATCATCAGATCACACGACACAACAGAATCAGATCACAAGACACAACATCATCAGATCACACGACACAACATCATCAGATCACAAGACACAACAGAATCAGATCACAAGACACAACAGAATCAGATCACACGACACAACATCATCAGATCCCAAGACTATTATTTCACTACATAATTATTGAAATCCATTTTCTAATAATAAAATATAAGTTACTAAGTTGTATACGGTTTCCTTCGGTAGTGCAAGTGGCGCAGGAAGTGCGTGCGGAATAGGCGGGTCCGCCCCGTCTGGCACTTCTTTTTCTCCTTTTTTCATATTGCGAAGTTATATTTCCCGCCAACTACAGGTTTTTTTTCGCCATGAAAAGGGGCTACAAAAAGCTTGGCCCGGGTGGCACCAACGATGGCTACGCCCCTCCTTGAGGAGCAGAAAGATTTAGTTTGTAGTGGACTGGTATGGACGATTTGTACTATAAGGGGCGCCATAACAGGGGCGCCATGTTTTGCCAAGCGGAAGCGTAAATAAGTGCGATCAAGCAACAGAGGCGTAGCTGGAGTTTTTAGCGCCTGAGGACAAGATTTATTTTATAGAGCCTCCCCTTTCTTTTTTTCAACTCTCCAACCCAGTATTTTCATCAATAAAAAATAATATCAAATCAAATTTTGGCGCCCCTAAATAGTCTGGCGCCCGGGGTCATCTGTCCCTCCCCCCATAGCTACGTCTCTGCCACGCAAAGCTCCTTTTTACATTATTTCTGTTCCAGGGTGTCACGGTATAATGTCGCAGCCTATTCGATCTTTGGTTCCTCGAGCACTAAACAGAAGAAGGAGGCTTTTACGCAGCCAAATAAAACCAAACTCGATGGTTTTAGGTGGGGTGCGGAGTGGGGTGTCCGCCCCGGGTGGCACTTTTTTGCTTTATATCGAGGTCGGCATTTTCAGCCAACTGCAGAGTTTTCTTTAGGAAACGGGGGAACGGGCGGCAAAAGTTTTAGGCAGCCCCAGGGGAGGGTGGGGCACTAACCCTGGCTACACCACATTTTTAAAGCAGGCCACATTGTACGACAGCTTCTAAAATCCTGTTCCAGGGCCCTCTAGGATTGCCCGCCGAGCTCTATAGAAGGGCCGTTTAGGATTGCCCGCCTTGCACTATGGATATGGCCCTTTAGGACTGCCCACCTTGCTCTTTGGATATGGTCTTTTTGGATTGCCTGCTTTGCTCTATGGATATGTCCCTTTAGGACTGCCCACCTTGCTCTTTGGATATGGTCTTTTTGGATGGCCTGCCTTGCTCTATGGATTGGGCCTCTTAAGGACTGCCCGCCTAGCTCTATGGCTAATCACGTTGCGATTAATCAGTATGTAATAATATGCCTTCTATCATTTATAGAATGTCAAGTGTGGGTTCATGAAAGGAATCCTCAGTGATCTTAGGAGACGAATACCTCATTACTGGTCAGATTACAAAGACGGTAAGTGACTTGAGCATTGTAATATGGACACTAGAAAACAAAGGGCCGGGGCGAAGAAGCCAGGGGGTATAAGGATTTAACACACCTGATATGTGTATAGCATAAACACAACGAGGCAGATTGCAAATCAGCCATGTGCTGTGTCCAGCTACTACCCATTCTTAACTATTATACTTACTTCCTTACAACTGCCAGACCATCTACACAAATTTTCCATTCATCTTGGTTCCGTGTTTTGCTTTCCAGTTGCTTCCAGGTGTATCCCATTGAATGTCTGCCTCTAGCTCGCGCCTCCATGTATCCCATACTTTGTGTGTTTGCCACTTGCTCGCGTCTCCATGTACCGGTATCCAATACTTTGTGGGTCTGCCTCTAGCGCGCGTCTCCATGTATTCTTTGGTCTTCCTCTCTTCTTTTTATCTCCGTGACTTTAAGAATTGTCTGGGGCAGGGCCGGCCTTAGGCCACTGCAACCTATGCGGCCGCAGTGGGCCCCACACTTTTTTTTCTAGTACAAAATCTTAATTTTCACTTATTATCCTTATCCCCACACAGACTGGGCCCCGCGCAATCCGTTTCGCATAGGGCCCCGCAATTGTTAGGGCCAGCCCTGGTCTGGGGAGGGTATCGATAAGTTAACGAAGAGACAAAATCTCAAATCGTCTTAGAGAAAAATCTCTCTACATCTTTAATCATCCAATTCGAATCAGGGGAAACAATTTTAAGGTTAAATTCTATTTTTTTAAATGCATGGTTGTTTCCCATTTTAAAGGCCTTATTAAAAAAACAACAACAATAAAACATTTTTTTTTTCCTTCAATATTTTTATATTTCAGGTGTAGGTGACAGAAAATCAATTCAGAAGACTATTTCCTGCTCGTTTTTCTTATACTTTGCATGCATTCTCCCCTGCATTGCTTTTGGGGTGCTAAATTCTGACAATACTAGAGGAGTTCTGAGTGAGTATCTTTGTGTATAACAAAAAGTAAATCAAATTTAATAGGCAATGAACCTAATGAGTAAATTTCTGAGGGAAAACAATCAGTTACTTTTGATGTGTTAGATTAAACATAGGGAAACACATAGTTATAGATTAAAGATAAGGAGCAACATGGATTAAAGATAAGGAGCAACATAGATTAAAGATAAGGAGCAACATAGTTTAAAGATAAGGAGCAACATAGATTAAAGATAAGGAGCAACATAGATTAAAGATAAGGAGCAACATAGATTAAAAATAAGGAGCAACCTATATTAAAGATAAGGAGCAACATAGATTAAAAATAAGGAGCAACATAGATTAAAGATAAGGAGCAACATAGATTAAAGATAAGGACCATCATAGATTAAAAATAAGGAGCAACCTATATTAAAGATAAGGAGCAACATAGATTAAAGATAAGGAATAACATAGATTAAAGAAAAGGAGCAAAATAGATTAAAGATATGGAGCAACATAGATTAAAAATAAGGAGCAACATAGATTAAAGATAAGGAGCAACATAGATTAAAGATAAGGAGCAACATGGATTAAAGATAAGGAGCAACATAAATTTATTTGAATGATAGCCTAATGAATTCGTGGACACATGTCTGATTTAAGTTTAAATTTAAAGCTAAATAAATTCCATGACAGCATGGTGTTAAATTGATTGATACAAATGTAAAGATAAGTAATGTAATTTATTACAAAAAAATGACTAAATCCTAGTTTTCTGCATGTTTATTTTTCAAAGTTCAAACCCTATATTTGTTTCCAGCTGTTGAGAAAGTCATCTACTCTCAAGTGTTTGGTAGTCTTGTGTTTGCTGTATTTTTATTATCAAAGTTCACGCAGTATATTTTTTGTTTCCAGCTGTTGAGAAAGTCATCTACTCTCAAGTGTTTGGGGGTCTTGCGTTTGCTGTATTTTTATTATCAAAGTTCACGCAGTATATTTTTTTGTTTCCAGCTGTTGAGAAAGTCATCTACTCTCAAGTGTTTGGTGGTCTTGTGTTTGCTGTATTTGGTGGGACACCACATATTGTTTTATTGACAACTGCACCTCTTGCTCTTTATACTAACAGTGAGTTTTAAGTATGGTGTATTCCCTAATTATTATTTATACAAATATTCAATGGCAGATTGACGTAAACAGATGCTTTGATTAATTTTTTTTTAAAGCACATTGAACGTAACAAACAGGAAAAAAATTAACACATTTATATATGATGTAAAAAAATTATTGTCTTCAATTAACATTAGATTAATTTAATATAAACAATTTGCATAAATAAAACAATATATGTTCAGCTTTAATGATGATTTTATGAAATACAAAAGTAAACGTTTTGGCAAATGCCTTCATCAGTACAAAAAAACAAAACATTTAAATAAGTATATTTTTAACAAATAACAGAAGACTTTAATATGTGTTAATATTTTTTCTCTCTGCAGTTATATTTAGTCTCAGTGTTGAATATGAGCTGAATTTTCAAGCTTTTTTTGGCTGTATTGGTCTTTTTAACTGCATGTTTTTAGTTATCTTCTCCATACTGGATCTCAGTAAACTAATGCAGTTTTCTAGAAGGTATATTTTATAAAAATTTCAAAACTACTGAATCCTCTATTGTGGGTTAGCCTTCAAAAATAAGATGTTAAAATAACTTCAATTCTTATTACATGTAATCAATTTTTTTAAAATAATTATATCTCATTTTTTCCTAATCACATATCATTTTCATATTAGTTTAATTTCTTTTTTTATAAAAAGTGTGCATAGGCTATGAATACACTTTTCAGAGCATGTTTTACCATTTTAAATCTTTGGCTTATTGCGCATGTATGTAATTATTTGAATGGATGTAGATCTAGATACAGATTACAGTAGTGTTTATTTTAGAAGATTAACCTCTTAAATCACTTATAGTAAGCTTGAATTTTTTTTTGTTTTTGTGTGTAGTAGGATTATAAAATGTGTACCAATTCCTCTTAATGTAACCAATAACATTGGCAGAATATGGAGGGGCTTCTCCACCCTACACTTACCTCTTCTTCCAGATGAATAAAATGTGAATATTTTTTAAGTTAACACTAAAACTCTTTTGTCATAATAATTTCACATCCTGAAAATGCTGCTACTGATATTTAACAATCATTAACTGCAACAGGATAATTTTTTATTTTTTTTTAAATCAGATCGTCAGAGGAGGTATTTGCCTTGTTTATTTCCATTGCATTTTCGATTGATGCTTTCAAGAATTGTGCCAAAAGTAGGTTGAGGTATATATATTTCTTATATTTTTTATGGTTAAAAATAAATGAAAATGTATTTGGAAAAAAAATAATTCTAACACAGTGTCGAATTAATTTTAGGTTTAAATTAATGTCAAAAATTGCTGTACAAATTAAAAATTATATTCCAACATCAGATTTTGAACAGTATTACTGTGATGAGAGTTTGATCAGCATGAAAAATTTGACATCCCAAGTCAACTTTTCTCTTGCAAGCAGTGATCTTTCTGAGCCATCCAGATGTGCAAAAGAAATAAGCCTGCTATACCTTCTTCTACTGCTTGGAACTGTATGGCTTGGAGTAAGTCTCTTCACATTTAAAAACACGTGAGTTCATAGAACCAATATATTTATTAACAATGGGAGCTATATTATATACAGTGGTGCTAAATAATAGTAGCAATAGTGCTAATTTTTAGTAGATTTTTATATTCGGTCACACCTTGGAATGAAAATTTAGGATTGAAGAAACTTATTCTTTAAGATTAAAAAAAATAATAATAATTTATATTCTTTGCTGATTAATACACTTAATAAAAATGGAAAAAAAAAAGTAATAAACAGCAGACTAAAATTATGTGGTTATGGCGTGTTAAAAACTTCAGACTGTGCTCCCTTAATTTGGGTAAAAACGAAACAAGATTAGGTGAGCCTTGCTTGACATTAGGTAATGGGACACCTCAAAATTCACATTGAAATTTTGCAAAAAAAGATGTATATAATGGAGCTAAGCAGCCTGTGTAAATTGATACTCGGGTCTATACTTAATACAATATTTCACAAATTTTCTCAATATTATTTGATTTATTTCATAAATTCCTTTTGTTTAAGTGAAACAATAAGTTTTTGAACAATGATAATTGGTAATCAAAGAAACCCTGAAATGCGATGCATTAATTTTTTAAAAAGAATTAAAAATGGCTTTTCATTATATTACATTATATTTTTTAGGTCCTATTTGAATGTCACTGTCAGAGAACTGATGTCTGATTACTCACTGCCAGTTGCTGTAATTGTCATGTCATTCATTGGTTCTTTTCTCTTCAGAAAAGTAGAAGGTACATAATAGATGCTATTTTAAGTTTCATTGATCATACTGTAGATAACATAAAATGTATTTATTGATCTAAATAAATGGATGTTTAATCTGATTTCAAAGCACATATTATTTTCAGTCTTGAAAGTCTTTGTATGAGATTTTTTTAAATTAGCATGTAGCAGGGTATCGGAAGATGATGATAGGAAAGAACTATAAATGTTTGAAACACTCTTTGTCCATGAAGTTCAAAAAGTTTAAGATCAAAGCAATGTATTCCTATTAAACATCTTTCAAAATGTCCTAATGCAAGCACAAAACATAGTCATAACTGAGAGCATGATTTGAATGAGAAAAATAGGTAGAGGGATGATAATTAAACATTTAAGTAGAGGGGAAAAATGACTGAAAAATATCTTATTAATCTTAAAAAAATAATATTAAATACGTTTAAAGATTGACAACTCTAAAAATCATCTTTTAAAAGTTGTTGCTCTGATCTGGAAATCATCTTAGAGTAATCATTTTTAGAATCTCTTTCATGTTAAAAGTGTTGAAAAGTTTCCAGCCAACAAACGATGAAACCTTTTTCACATGGGTTGATTTGACGAGGCTTCCATGGGGAGGAGTGCTGGCCGCCTGTGGCCTGGGGTTTTGTTTGTCACTGCTGTTTTTCATGGACCAGAACATTTCAGCAGCTCTCGTCAATGCCCCACACAATAGGTCAGGTAGTTAAGTTGTACTTTTTAAAAAGTGTCTATTGGAACTTTTTTTTTTTTAAAACTTAGTTTATTACTATTATATTGAAGTTTATATATCTCAGTGTATGGATAATAATATGCTCATAAATTCTATACACTCCTTTATAAAATTCTATAGTTAAAAATCCACTGGCTGCTTGACCAGGTATTAGGAAACAGAAATGATAAAATGTTAAATTATAATTATATTTTAGGTCCACTAAAGGAGACTCCTTTTTTAAAATTGTATTAATTATTGAGGGTATGGTGGGAAGGGGTAGGGTTGTCACACTGACAAATCACAACACAAATAGCTATTAGTTATGAGTGAACAATGCGGGTCTCTGGGGGGCCATTATGTTGGGTGCCAAGGCAGTTGGGATACCAACAAATTTTAATTAGAATCTTTTCTCCTCCCTTTTCTCATATTGAAAAAGGAAGCCCTTAAGAAGTCTGCCATCAATGAGGCTAAGGTGAAACTAAATATTTATGTAAATTCATACATAACACTACATGTGTAATACAAGTTTAAGTTAACTATTTTTGGTAAAGTCTGTGATAATGGTGACATTAAAATCAAATCATTTTAATGAGTCAAAGCAGATGGACCGTAAAATTTATATTTAAATTTTTTTTTAAAATTTAGAACCTTCAACTTTAACTTTGTTGTAGTAATTACAAGTTAAGATATTTCATTCAACTTATTTATAGAAAATATATTTGATATCAGGTTGAAAAAAGGAAGTGCCTATCACTGGGATCTGTTTGTTATAGCAGCAATCAATGTTGTCCTGTCTATGTTGTGTTTTCCATTGGTGCATGCTGCTCTGCCACATTCACCGCTTCATGTTGTTGCGTTGACCGACGTCGAGATAAAGGAAGAAAATGGACATGTATATCACTGGTTAGTATTCATGTCAGTAGTCAACTAACTCAGTTTAATTTTGATATGGTCCTCCAGTGATAAATAATTGATCATCTTATTAAGTTTACCAGCAATGCAGAATTTATATAATTATAAATACCCTTTCCTCTGTTTAAATAAGAAAAAAATAGTAATTTCCCATTCAATATGTACATATATCATTCATCTTTGTTTAAGCAATGAGGTTTTCCTTAAAAACAAAATTGTGCCTTAACTTTCTAAGGATATAATTTATTATAAGCATACACACATGTAATTATTTTTGACAGTGTTGTGAAAGTTAGAGAGACGAGAATCACCAGTATTGTCTCCCACACTTTGATAGGACTCAGTCTGTTGATTTTGTCCATACTAGCCTACATTCCTACTCCTGTGCTCTATGGCCTGTTCCTGTACGTGGCTATTACATCATTGTTTGGTAACCAGATTTTTGAGAGGATTCAGTTATTCTTCACAGAGAAAGTATGTTCATTATTTAAACACAATACTCTTTTTTTTTTAAAAATACAATTAAGTGTTGCGATGTGTAAATCAGTTTTATTACGGTCTTTAGAGAATATTTAAATATTATAAATATTATGTTTATTGTTGTTTTCTCTGTCAATGCTAAAATTAGTACCAGTGAAAATGTCCCCATAATTGATTTTTCTTTTCATTTTGTTGTTTGGTTTTGAGTAAAAACTTAAATATATGATTCTGTTTAAACCTTAAAAAACAAGAATGAAGAATTTATTTCAAATAAATACTGCTATCCATGTTTCATAATCTCTTATTTATTTGAAAGGCAGCTTATCCACCAAGGCCATACATAAGCATAGTGCCACATAAGAAACTTCACATGTTCACTGGTCTCCAGCTGGTACAACTGGCAGTTCTCTGCATTGTTGGCTTCACACCATATCCTTACCTCAAGATGTTCTTCCCTGTTTTCATTTTCTTTCTCATCCCCATTAGGTAAGTTTGTGTATGATAAAAAACTATTTTGTCACTATTATGACATTTTTAAAAAATATAATTGTTTTTCCTAAAATTTAAAAGAGGAAAATTTAATCCCTTTCATTAAAAAATAAAAAAATTTCACTAGATTCTGTGTTTATGAATGTTATCATGTTTTTCACATGTGCTAAAAATGTAATGACTGGTCATATTTTCCACATTATTAATGAGCTAAAACAATATCCTCTCATAAAAACCTGTATTTTTACCTTCTTTTAGGTTTTTTAGATTCATACAATTACCAGATTAAATTTCTTAATTTAGCTACTGTTTATATCAGGTTGGCAACCAAAGGCATGTGTGCCCAACTTGGCACATCGTTTCAACAGCACATGGAAGATCAAAATATAATACTTATTTTAAGATACAGTAGAGCAAGAAGATTACTGAATAAGTTATGGGCATGCTAAACTAATTATAAATCCTGCTCTGGAACAATATTACCTAAAGGTTGCGAAACCCTGGTTTAAATAATTGCTATTAATAAACAAATAAATAGCTAAACCAACAAAAACTTTATTTTTTGTATATGTCCAGGCATAAACTCATTCCTAAAGTTATTGAACAGAAGTACCTGAATGCTTTAGATGGACTTTAGACTGGCAAACCTTCACTGGGAAGGATTACACAAATTCAAGGTAATTAAAATGTATGCTATATCAATCACTATGGTAACTCAAGTTGGGATTCCACATCTGTAATTTACTTTAATAAATTATTGTAGCTATTTGGACACTAAAGTGTTTGGACTAAAACACAAAAGACAATAACCCCCTCGTTTTTGAAGATAGAAACTCTGTAAATTACAAAATTTTTCTTGGAAATATAATTTTACACAAAAAAAGTTGATATATAATTTTTTTTAACAATACTGAAACGTAATATGCACATTTGTATGAAATATATATATTGATTAGGCTACATTTACAAAGTATTGAAAACTGTAACAGAAAATTCAGTTTGACTTCTTCTATTTAAAAAAAAAAAAAAAATCTTATTTTTATTAATTCTTTTTAAAATCTTATTTTATATAATCTCTGAACACTTCATATTCAGTTGGGTAATGGGGTATTGGATGTGGTATTTTAAATATTTATTTTATTAGCTAAATTTACAAAATATTGAAAACTGTAACAGAAAATTCAGTTTGACTTTTTCTATTTAAAAAAAAAAAAAAAAATCTTATTTTTATTAATTCTTTTTAAAATCTTATTTTATATAATCTCTGAACACTTCATATTCAGTTGGGTAATGGGGTATTGGATGTGGTATTTTAAATATTTATTTTATGATCAGTAAATTAAGGCAATACTATGATTTATAAAGAAACACCCCAATTAGATATAGGTTTAGAAGTAAGGATTTGTTCACTCAATGTATGTCTATAAATTTGACTGTAAATGTGAAGTTAATGAGTAAGTCTTATATGTAACATATTAGATTCAAGACCAGCATGGAATGTATAACTATTAAAAGTATTATTGTAAAATAATTTTTTTTTTAAACTCTGTAATATTCCAGTTTTATCAGTGACTGATTAGTTAATGCAGAGAGTTTTCCTTTTCCAATACAACTTTTTACACTATACTAGAAAGGTTTTTTTAGAACTTTAACTGCCTTATTTATGATGCTACTGCAATATTGATGAAATCTTATTATCTCTAAAAAAAAAATATTTATATAAAGATATATATTCAATAATTATCTATTTCTATTAATTAAAACAAATAATTTCAAATACTTGATTAGAATTTAAAAAAGGTATAATTCTGTTGTTTTATTTATATCATTTTGAGGTTAAAATTAAATTTTGCTTGTTACATTAAAAAAAAAGATATTTGAAATGTTGGTATGCTAATACAAGTTTATATGAACATTTCAATCTAATAAATGTTTTTCAGTGACATGAAACATATTTCTTACTTGTAATCCAATATATAATGTAAGTTGTTAACTATATAATGAGGCAGACCTGTGGACATATATAAGGTAGCTTACTTACTTCAGATTCTTATTCCTTTCATCTAATCAACCTTTATAACGTCAGGGTCCTCAACAAGCTTATTGTGAATCTGCATCAAGCCCTTGAAATACTTGACAGTCCTGACACGCAGCTCAATTGTGGTGTCCTTGTTTCAGAGAAATATGGTGTGGGGATGCTGCTGGAAGGCAGAGACGGTCCACATGTGGTTTACCCCCACTTCAATGGCCTTGTGCAGGGTGAAGGCTTTGTGTGCTCCAGTGATCAAGATCATCACCTGTGACAGGCCAGATAATCATACAGTACAGTGCAAGGTTTATTGAATACAAAAAAACATTGCTAAATTTAATATTTTTTTTAAACTAACCATAAAAAAATGTGCAGTATGTTCTCATCTTTAAAATTATCATTTCTTAAAAGCTGGACAACTTTGATTTTTTTCTCCATAGGTACATGCCAGGAATAGCATTAAAAAAATAATATTTTTAATAAATCATTAAAAATGTAAAAGCTGGACAAGATCCAGGTGTATGGTACAAAAATAAAAATTAGAATATGCAGTGCTTCATAATATAGATTTTAATAAATATTTAAAAGAAATTACTATAGCACAACTACATGGATTATGTTTTTTAACATATAAAAAAAAAATTAAAATCAACAAGGCTATAATTAGGCTCAAACTAGAATTTAACAAATAAAATAAAAGCAAAGATTTATGCTTACTGTAAAACATTGCAAACAATTAACTGTTGATGTGATCAAGAGAAGCTAGCAATAACAATGAGAATTACCTCATCAGCATCCATGACCGTACCCACACCCACAGTGAGGGCCTGAGTTGGAACTTTCTTTAAGTCATTGCTAAAAAATCTGGCATTGGCCAGAATGGTATCCTGTGCCAGGGTCTTGACCCTTGTCTTAGATACAAAACTTGATCCGGGCTCATTGAAAGCTATATGGCCATCAGGCCCAATACCTGTGATAACGAACACAAGTGTTTAAAATCTTCTTAAATAAAACCAGTTATATTTTTAAAAGGTAGCTATTGCTAGTAAAAAAATAAACTGTGGTGTAATGGTAGCATTTATGTCTGCCTCCTATAATAACCAAGAGGATATAGTTTCAAATTTGTTCAGGGTCGTAAGCAACTTCAACTATGGGCCTACCATGTTACCAGGTGTAGATGACTCAATGGCTAAAATCATTGGGGGGGGGGGGGGGGGGAAGAGCTAAATCCTGATTAAAAAATGTCAACCAATCAGGTTGAAAGGCAGCAGCAAGCCTCACAATGACACACACTTTTTTCTTCTCTTGACTAGCAACCAAGCAACAGAAGCTTGCATACCCACATGTAACTCACACCACTTCCTCCTGGCCCACCCCACCAATATTATTCCCATCCCTTCTCTAGCCTACAAGTAGAATTGAAATACTCAGCCCTACTTACTAAATAAGTATCGTAATTATGTTGACACATGGCACACCAGTCGATGTGCATGCATCACTACATTATATATAAGATTCACAATATACATGAATTCATGTCTGTCATGACCAATTCTTTATGATAAAAAAAAGAACTAATTCAGATGTGTTTTTCAATTAATGTATAAGGAACATTGCAAGGCTTAGAAGAACAATGATGAGATTGTGAACATATGCCAACATGAGATACGAGACAAGCAGAACTGTCAGGAGGAGTGCATTGTCTGGCTGAATGTCAATGTGTTTGAAAAAGTTTTTCCCACATGAAAGAGTGGTAGCTCTCAGGGTGCTCTCTTGGTAGAGCTGGTTGGGTGGGATGTGGTGGAAAGGTGAAGTTAGAATGTTAAACGAATCCTGTGTACTTGTAAAAATCATACATGTATGTTGTGCACAAAAATATATATATATTATATTATATTATATTATATTATATTATATTATATTATATTATATTATATTATATTATATTATATTATATTATATTATATTATATTATATTATATTATATTATATTATATTATATTATATTANATATACACACACACATACACACATACATACATACACTGTATTTTGTGTACACATATCTGTATGTGTTGGTAGTCTACAGATAATATAAATATATAGATATATATATATATATACACACACACATACATACACTGTATTTTGTGTACACATATCTGTATGTGTTGGTAGTCTACAGATAATATAAATATTGTGCTCATAAAACGGAAATCCCCATGGTAATTATTTAAGAAAGTTTTGCCCTTATTTTTAAGAAAATGATTAATGGCACGGAACTAAAATCTAAGATGAAACAATAAAGGCAGTGTGTAAATGATATAACACAACAACATAAAGAGACATGTTTAAGACAGGAGACTTACCCACATATTCATCCATATATAAAGACATAACGAAATGAAAGCTTCCCAGCTTTGTGGAACTCAATCAACTTCTTGTACATTCCCAGCGGTGTGCTGCCTGTTTTTAAACCAGTGATTTATCTAGCAAGATCTCCCATTTCTAATTATGTGCAGTTGTTTTTAATGTGTTTAGAAGCATTGTAACAAATAATGAGATGTATACTAATAATGCAAAGATGTCCAGTCCAAATAGTACTTGGTAATCCGTTCAAGATCATATCATTTGATCCTGTCCCCTTCTAAGCTGTTTACATTAAACTTTTTAGAATAGTTTTAACTTTTTGACCTATAACATTTATCTTGTAAAAAAAAAAAATATTTAAGTCTACACTCTATATTTACTACATCCTTGATAAATAGGTCAACTTTGACATTGAAAATATATATCTCAAACTTATACGATAAATTAATTGAAACAGAAAATGACAATATAATTTTTAACTTTAAAAATACATCTAGTAATATTTCCTATTTCATTATAACTAATCAACAGATACATTTTCTATACATATAAAAATAAATGTATATAACTTTCAAGGATACAAAAATACGTGTAAAACTATAAACTAATTCTTAGGCCTCTAAACCAGTAAAAAAAAACACAATGCATCATCTCCTTGTTGTGCCAAAGACATCTTTTCTTTTTTGTTCCAAAAATAACTGTTTAAACAACACTCTGAAGGTCACAGCCAACAACACCACCCACTGCCCAATTACCACATCCAACAGCCAACAACACCATCCACGGCCCCATTACCACATCCAAAAGCCATCTCCATCACCCACTGCCCCATTACCACATCCAACAGCCAACAACACCACCCACTGCCCCGTTACCACATCCAACAGCCATCTCCATCAACCAGTGCCGCATGCATTTCAAAAACCAAATACATGTGCACGGCACCAGACCGCCTTATAGGCCTACTCCAAGTACCCACTCGTTACTTCAGCTACTCCAAGTACCCACTCGTTACTTCAGCTACTCCAAGTACCCACTCGTTACTTCAGCTACTCCAAGTACCCACTCGTTACTTCAGCTACTCCAAGTACCCACTCGTTACTTCAGCTACTCCAAGTACCCACTCGTTACTTCAGCATCTGCGGCCATACATCATGACTGAGCTTATCTCCACCATCATCTCCTGGCTCCACCAGTGCCATCCACCATCACCTCCTGGAACCAACGGTGCCTTCCACCATCATCTCCTGGCTCCACCAGTGCCATCCCCCATCACCTTCTGGATCCACCAGTGCCATCCACCATCACCTCCTGGAACCAACGGTGCCATCCACCACCATCTCCTGGCTCCACCAGTGCCATCCACGATCACCCCCTGGATCCACCATCACATCCTGGATCCACTGATGCCTTCCACCATCATCTCCTGGCTCCACCAGTACATCCACCACCATCTCCTGGATCCACCATCACCTCCTGGATGCACCGGTGCCTTCCACCATTATCTCCTGGCTCCACCAGTGCCATCCACCACCGTCTCCTAGATCCAACGGTGTCATCGATCATCATCTACTGGCTGCTCCACATGTGCCATCCACCATCATCTCCTGGCTCCACCAGTGCCATCCACCACACCTCCCATCAGGAAGAACCTACCATAGCAACCTATACCCCCTCTAAAAGTAAAACGACCCAATCCCATGTTACCTCTTTCAACTCCCCCCCCCTTCCCTTCCCTTCCAACAGCCACACAAAATTACTTTCTACAAATCCATCTTAACTTCATTTCCGATGTCATATTTTTTCGTCCGGTTAGACACCACAGGTTCCGGTACAGTCTGGAATGAGGGCTCTTTGTGACCCCCGGAGGGGGGCGTGTGGGGGGGGCAGGGAGCTGAGCCTATTCCTGGCTTTGTATGCAGATAATAACGATGTGGGTCGTAGAAAGGTCCAACCTTCAGTCACGTGTCGAGGTTAGAATGCCGTGCTGCCAGTGCCCCGATGATGACTTTATAACACACTGGCGCCATGTTACAAGATAATTATAGCCAACAATACTCGAATTCCATGTTGTCTGGGGAGGGGGGGGGGAGCAAAAAGATATTTTGCTTTAGATTTTTAGAGTGAGGGTATGAGGAGTGCGGGGTGAGGAGGAAGGGGAGGAGGAGGGAGGAGAGAAGGTATGAGAAGGAAGGGGATGAGTAGGGAGGGGAAAAGGAGGAAGGTTTTGAGGAGGGAGGGGATTAGGAGGGAGGGTATAAGGAAGAAGTGTATAAGGAAAGACGGGAGCTTTCATGAAATTATATTTGTAAAGAAAATTTTGAAGCCGCAGGATGGAATTAAAAATTCTTTAGTCATAAATTCCAATATAATTGGAACGCCATCATAAAAGGAACACAATGACATAAAGTACCGGAATAGAGAATGAAATATCTATGAACATGAAATAATAGAGACTATTCTTTTCTCTTCTTAAAATGCATCATGCAAAGAAAGTCTGTGCCTTACGGTAGTATGAAGCAACAGGGACCGAATAGAATTTAGAAGAAGCTTGATATTTTTTATTTTTTAAATTAATTTTTCAAAATATTTTCTGAACAGGCTTTCTTTGTGTAATGTATTTTAATAAATTTTAAATTCTTTTTTTAAACTTTAATTTCGTTAAAATAATCTTTTAAAGAACGTTTTTTAATTATCAGATTTATTTTTAAAAAATTATTTTTATTATTATTTTTATTCTCAAAGACTGCAGATTTTTCAAGTTATTTTATGGCTTTGAATACATATTATTATTGAATGTATCTCAAGCATGGTATTTTGTAGCTACCTACAGTTATTATTTATCATTTTAAATTTAATTGGATGCTCTTTAATTGATATTTGGTGGGTTTTTTCAAAATATACTTGCTAAAATTGATGTAGAATTATTTTAGGATAAAAGTTAAGAAAAAAAAGAGCACATTTTAATAAGTTAATGTCCAAACGGTGGTTGAAGTGTCACGTGTCCTCGTAATGAGCGGACCAGAATTATGTTACGAGGCGTAAACCAGACACATGACTGGTGCACGTGATCTTGATATTACGAAACAGTCATGGATAAAAAAAAAAAGAAGGTCTTAGTGGTTTAGCGAGGGTGCGGCCGTGTGCGGGTCGAGAGTTGTGCCACCCCCTACCAATAAATTAACAAAATAACTCTTCAGGTGGCCAAAAATGGCACCTCTCCATACTCCATATAAAGAAAAAAAAGTACCGCCTGTGGTGGGCCACCCCATTCACAGCCAACTTTCTACGCAAGCGGAAGGACTTTTTCTTGGCAGTTGTGAGAAATCTCATAGTATTCAAATAATGTGTTAAAATGGTCTTTGGTTATTCAGCTCTAATTCGAAAGGATGGACTTAGTTATATAGATGACACCTAAGTTGATTTGTGATGAGTTAAATGAGAGACCGTGTTAGTGGCGAGAACCACCTTTACACAGCACTGCACGGATGGACCTACAGATTCCAAGATGCCTAGAACGAGAGGTACTTAAATATTTAAACTTGTCTAAACCAATATTTCCTTTAAGCTGCGCGGCCGCGTAGCAATCTCACAGACGCCGCGCAGCAGTTTTGAGTACCGCGCAGCTAATTTCCACTTAAGTGTGTGTTTGTGTCTGTAGGCTGAAAATTTTGCGCACAAAAAAATTGATGCTGTAAAAATTTGCACACAACTTTATGATTTTGCACACTAACCAACAAACCTTAGCGGGAACATTGGTCTAAACCCAACACTGGTTTAGAAAGAAATATTGGACTCGTAGACATAATTAAATGAATTTATAAAATAAATACAACTTTTATTTAAATCTGCATACATCCAATTGGGCAAATTTTATAACGCATCTTTGGTGATAGAAGAGTTCTCCTTTATTTACCACAATCAGGGCTACCACACCTTGGGAAATTTCCCAAGATCTTGGGAATTCACGACCCCCCTTGGGATCTGGGGAATAATTTTGAAAATCATGCAAAACCTTGGGAAATCTTAACTGGGGGGAAAATTTTGTTATATTTTTCGAAAAAAACGCAACAATATCTGATAAAAAATAAAGTAAAAATAAAGCAAAATAATTTTTAAAGTAACAAGGCAAAAAATTAATTGTTTTCATTTTCTTTTCTGGTTTTAATTTTTAAATCCACTCATAAAATAAATAAAAACTCTTCTGATTTTAAAGTTAATATTGTGAATTATTAAAAAGTTAATAATTTTAAAAAAAAATTCAATTTTCTCTTAAAAAAAAAAAATTGAAGATTTACAAATTACATCCAGGTTTTGAATGTTTATTAAAAGGGGGGGGGGGGTAGGCTCGGAAACTTTATCATTATGCTCTTAGACATTAGCAACCATACGAAAAACAGTACAAGCCAA